ACACACACACACACACACACACACACACACACACACACAGATATGCACGTATTTATGGTTTATGTATATATTTCCCAGGATAACAAATGAAAAAGCAGAAAGAAAATGTGGCAATGTGTTTTCCTTTGGTTGGGATATTGTTTCAGGTGAGAATGGACTGCACTTTAGTTGAATACTTTTTCAAATATCTTTGTTTCAAGACAGAGTTTCATGTTATTTTCTATAAATAAAGTGGAAATAAAAAAAGGACTTTATTTTCACATAAACACGGTATGAGGTATGTTTGTCTGAAACTGGTATTAGTACAAAACTAAGTTGGGATTAAACACAGCAAAAGGTAGCAACAAGAAGGCATAGATATACCAAAGGTTTTTTTCCCTATATTGCCCTGAAGAAGCAATATAGCAGAAATTAATTGCTTTCTTGTTTTATATACAATTTGTTTGTCATGAATCGTAAGCATGAAAGGAAGAGAAGAATATAGAATAGCATGAAGAAGATGTAATGGAAATACAGCATATGGGAGTTTATTAATACGAAAATAGGATTATTCTGACTTAGAATAGGCAGCAGAAAGCAGGAAAAGGTAATAGCTGTAGATATTGACATGGGAAATTCACAATTAAGAAATCTGATAATCCTCAGTATGCAACAAAAAACAAACTAATTTGTTTCCCAGAACATGCCAAGGATTTTTTTATTTATGAATTAGATATTCCAACTGTTAAAAAATCTGACAATCCTCAGTATGTAACAAAAAACAAACTCCCCCCCCCCTNATGAATATGAATATGTAAATTTATATATACATATATACATGTATATATATATATATATATATATATATATATATATATATATATATATATATATATATATGTAAGTAGCTATGTATATATGCATATATGTATGCACACACTCAAAGTCCAAAAAGAATTCCAGAAATTATCTAATTACATACATAAAGTGAACAGGGATGGGTGGCGCAATCGTTAGTGATTGTTTGTTCGTACGGGGAAGAGGTAAATCGAGAATTGTTTTCACTTTGTTTTCGAGAACGCTCAGTCAATTATTTGCTAGACGAAACCCAAGATATTTAATCTTATCATATCTAATGAAGCATTACTTTGGTCCTGCTGTTAAACCTTATTTATGTAATCGTTCAGATAGACGTTCAAGAGCTAACAAGTGATCAGACCAGTTTTTACAATGAACTACTGTATTGTCAAAATAATAGTCTATATTGTTGAGTCCATACAGTACCTTCCGCTTAAACGTATAAACGTTGCACTGACAGTTTTTAAACCACAATGTAATCTAGTCAACTGCATCAGTCCTCGGTTGCTAACAAAAGCAATGCAAACTTTAGCACGTTCGGACAGCGGTGCTTGCCAGTGACCTTTGCATAGATCGATCTCCGAGAATACGCAGTCCCCGACGAAGGGGCCCAGCGCTCCCTCGAGGGAAGGCATCGGCTCTGAATCGAAAGGACTTACGTCATTGAGCGCTCTGAAATTGCGTAAAATTTCTTCACAATCAAGATTGTTATTCATGATCAACTTAGTTTCAGATTGGTCAAGAACAGTAATATCACGATAAATTTAGTTTCAGATTGGTCAAGAACAGTAATATCACAAGCATCTTTAGCTACTTTGCTATCATCCACCATACACATTTGACAAACTTCATCTGTAAGTTAATAGAGATGAAGTAAATTAAATCTTTAATAGATATCTTTATTCTTATCTTCCCTATCTCTTGAGTATATTTATATGATAGCTTGATTTTACTCTTAACTCTCACTAAGTAATATACACCATTACACCATGGCGTTTAATCACGGAAAAAGGTCCTTTCCATTGCATTGTTAGCTTTTTGTGTGTTGGAGGCAGCAAAATCAGTTATATCTGCATGAGCAGATGCAAGTTGTCCCGATTCCTCTAATTTTAATCTTAAGCTAGAGTTCATTGTTCATGGAAAATAGTGGTCCGCGCATTTGACTTTTTTTTTCGAATATTTCGATTTTTTTTTTCGTTTTTAGTTTTTAGTTCGAAAAGCGAGAATCCCTAAGTATCATTAGGGATTTCGCGATACGCGAACAAAACCGAGGGAATATATCTATCCTAATCAAGCGGTTTTTCAGGCAACAGCTTAAGCATCTACTTCGGGACGAATTGGAATCTTTCCACGGTTCCGGTGCAAATGCGTGGTAGGAACTCGTAAAGATGGCTTTGAAAGGATAGATACCAAGTGGTTGATCACTCTCATCAAATCAGATTTGAATTGAGTTCCTCTATCGGATAATATCTCTTTCGGTATGCCAACTCTAGAAAAGATATTGACGAGATTTTCTGCCACAGAGGAACTGCTTCGGGAAACCGCGTTGCACAGTCAGTGGCGGTCAGTATGTACTTATGACCTCGTTCGGAAGGAATGAGTGGGCCAACGAGATCGATAGCTACTCTGCTGAAAGGTTCGATTATTATTGGTATAAGCACTAACGGCGCTTTCTGGATTTTGCCTCTAGGAGTAGATTTCTGAGATCCTTGGCAGGACCTACAGTACCGTTTTATATCCGAACCAGCTCCGGGCCGGAAAAAAATTCCGGAAAATTTTATCAGCAGTTTTCCGAGAGAAACGTCCAGAAACAACAGAATCATGAGCAGTTGACAGTATGTATTGCCTAAAGCTACTTGGCAAGATTTACTGCTTCATCCCGATTTCGTGATTATGTTGACTCGCAATACCCTACCGTCAACTTCCTCGTACTTGGCAGTCTACTTTATTCTGTCTACTTACTAGTAATTTTATTTCATATATCCTTCAAAGATTGACATTTACTTTGAGATATCGATATATATGTATATGTATATATATATATATATATATATATATATATATATATATATATATATATATATATATATATATGTAATACCGACTGCCTCCATGGGGGCCACACGGAGATTGGATAATGAAACTGTTCACAGAGATCGTAAATCTAAAATCCAATGCTGTTTCGATTCATATCCGTCAGCGTGAACCCTCTTAAGCTGAAACCGCATCTAGTTGCGGCGGCGGCAGGATCAGAACTGTGTTGGGGTAGAGGCAGCAGAACGGAAAATTTTGGGAGCTTAATGGATTTTGTTGGTTGAATAAATCTAGTTCATCTGACAAATCAGTTAAGCCATTTGGTTCAAAAATGTTGAGGGAAAGGGTTGAAGGAGGATTCGCTTAGCTGGGTGCAGGGGAATTTTAATATTTCTGTTTATATGATAAATGTACGTATATTTTGCTGTTCCACATAATACATATTTCACGTCTAATTTCCTTCGCTAAGTACTCTCTCTTTCTCTGTCTGCATCTCTGTTGTAAGTGTCTCTCTCTCTTTCAAACAGAGGAGGAAAAGAAAGACAAAAAAAAGGGAAATAGACCAGGGAATGTAGGTGTAAGCATTAGGCAGAGGGTTTTGAACGGGAGGTGAAATATAGCTGAATGAAGCTAGTAATGTTGGGGTTGGAGGAGGAAGATAGGCTGAAGTACAGCCTGCTTTCGCTGAAGAGGTCAGAAGAGAGTGAAAGGACGAAAGTCTGGCAGGAGGCACGGAACGGGGTAGGGAAGAGGGAGGGGGCGAGTGAGACTGAGATGCCTAGGGGTTGCACGAGAGATGGACCAGCAGGTGTCGAGGAAGTGCCAAAATGCTGGTTAAAGATAGCAGATGTGAAGCGAATCTGGCGGAAGGGGGATTTGAGGTAGAGGTGGCAATAGAGGAGGGGAGAGAAAGTACATGAAGAGGAGAGTGAATGGATCGAGAGGCGGAGATAGAGGAAGAGGGATATAGAGAGATAGGGGAAGAGGGTAGATATAGATGGAAAAGAATACACAAAAAGATCAGGAATGTATATATATGTGTGTGTGCGTGTATGTGCGAGAGAGAGAGAGAGAGAGAGAGAGAGAGAGAGAGAGAGAGAGAGAGAGAGAGAGAGAGAGAGGAAGAGAGAGAGAAGGGAAGAGAGAGTATAAAGGGCGGTATAAAGGTACAATAATGCAATACCTACTTCCTACGTGTGGTCCTCCACCACGTGGTGTGGGGCCTGCCCACGCTATCGCCCAAACCACGCTCTTCTAAATATAGAGGCCACGCCGTCCGCCAAGGGGTATATAAGGTCATCCAAGCTGACCCTCACTCTTGCTCACACCTTGACCTGGGGTGACCGTGCCACCGCGGCCGCTGCCTTTCCGAGGCCCGGCCTGGCCTACCCTCAGCACGGAGCGCCGGCATACCGTAGTTTTCATATCGTGTGTTCTATTCAATAAAGACTGAAGCCATTCAGTGTTTCCCTGACGCCACCTGTACTTCAACAACTATATAAAATAAGAGCTGTTTAGACACTCCTATAGAGAGAGAGAGGTGTTAGGGTTTTGTTTTTGCCTGACTTTGGTGGGTTATGGAGAGACAATTCTGGTTTCTTCTTTATTTGTTGAGATAGTAGGTAGCGTGGCATGGGCTGTCTCCTACTGGTGCAGTTGTGGGCAAGGGAGCCCAAGGGCGCGCCGAGCGGTAACGCGCGTGGGAGAGCGCCCCCAAGGAGAGGTCCGGTCAGGGCCATGGGCCCTAGTCAAGTGTGTTGTAGGTTTCAAGAGGGGGTCTGGAGTCCCTAGCGTTTGGAGACGTGGGAAGGCAATACTCGTTCCTCAGAAAGGGAGAAGGGGTGGGAGAGAGAGAGAGAGAGAGAGAGAGAGAAGGGGTGGGAGAGTGAGAGAGAGAAGGGTGGGAGAGAGAGAGAGAGAAGGGGTGGGAGAGAGAGAGAGAGAAGGGGTGGGAGAGAGAGAGAGAAGGGGTGGTAGAGAGAGAGAGAAGGGGTGGGAGAGAGAGAGAGAAGGGGTGGGAGAGAGAGAGGAGAAGGGGGGGGAGAGAGAGAGAGAGAAGGGGTGGGAGAGAGAGAGAGAGAAGGGGTGGGAGAGAGAGAGAGAGAAGGTGGGAGAGAGAGAGAAGAAGGGAGGGGAGAGAGAAGGAGAGAAGGGGTGGAGAGAGAGAGAGAGAGGGGTGGGAGAGAGAGAGAGAAGGGGGGAAGAGAGAGAGAGAAGGGGTGGGAGAGAGAGAGAAGAAGGGATGGAGAGAGAGAGAGAAAAAGGGGTGGGAGAGAGAGAGAGAAGGGGTGGGAGAGAGAGAGAGAGAGAGAGAGAGAGAGAGAGAGAGAGAGAGAAGAGAAGGGGTGGGAGAGAGAGAGAGAAGAGAGTGGGGA